GGGACACCTCAGTTAAATGGAGTGTCTGAGAGGAGAAATCGGACTTTGCTAGACATGGTCCGGAGCATGATTAGTCTGACAACATTGCCAGAATCATTTTGGGGATATGCATTGAAAACAGCAGCACACACACTCAACAGAGTTCCATCTAAAGCTGTCGAGAGCACACCATACGAACTATGGCGTGGGAGAAAACCGAGTTTCTCGTACTTTAAGATTTGGGGCTGTGAAGCTTATGTAAAACGTCTCATGACGTCTAGTAAGTTGGAGCCTAAATCTGATAAAGTAATTTTTGTGGGATACCCCAAGGAAACTAGAGGGTATGAGTTCTATCATCCATCCGATAACAAAATTTTCGTTGCACGGAATGGAACCTTCCTTGAGAAGGAGTTTCTTTCTGCTATCACTAGTGGGAGAAAGGTAGACCTCGAAGAAATTCGAGAACCACAAGAGGAAATCCCGATAGGGTTGGAACCTGAGCAAAGAGATCAAGCAATTGAACCTCAAATTGCTCAAGATATACCACGTAGGTCAGACCGAATACGTAATCCTCCGGTCAGATATGGATTTCTCATGTCTGATGAAGGTGACGTCTTGTTGGTAGATCAAGGCGAACCAGAGACCTACCTCGAGGCAATTATATGCCGGAATCCGATCTATGGCGCGAAGCCATGAAATCTAAAATGGAGTCTATGTACACAAACCAAGTCTGGACCTTGGTTGATGCGCCCGAAGGGGTAAAACCCATTGGATGCAAGTGGGTCTTCAAAAAGAAGACAAACGTAGATGGGAAGGTTCATACCTTCAAAGCTAGATTGGTAGCAAAAGGTTATAGACAAATCCACGGAATTGACTATGATCAAACCTTTTCTCCAGTTGTTATGTTGAAATCCATTCGGATAATGCTTGCGATTGCAGCCTATTACGATTACAAAATTTGGCAGATGGACGTCAAGACGGCTTTCCTTAACGGGAACTTCAAAGAGGATGTCTTCATGACACAGCCTGACGGTTTTCAAATTGCTGGTCAGTCTGCCAAAGTTTGTAAACTGCAACGTTCAATCTACGGATTGAAACAAGCATCTCGGAGTTGGTACATACGTTTCGATGAAACCATTTTCAGTTTTGGTTTCGAGAAGAACTCTGACGAATCTTGTGTATACAAGAAGGTCAGTGGGAGTGTAATAGTATTCCTAATCTTATATGTCGATGACATATTGTTAATGGGTAATGATATTCTCGCTCTCACTTCTGTAAAGACGTGGTTGAGCGAGAACTTCTCCATGAAAGACTTATGGGATGCTAGTTATGTCCTTGGGATAAGAATCTACCGAGATAGATCAAGAAAGTTAATAGGTCTGAATCAAAGTACATATATAGATAAAATCCTTGATCAATTTAGCATGTCTAACTCAAACAAAGGATCTTTACCTATGACACCTGGCACGGTTCTTTCCAAGAGCCAGAGTCCTACTCCCGAGCAAAAGGAACTCATGATGAAGGTTCCATACGCCTCTGCGATTGGATCCATCATGTAAGCCATGATATGTACTAGACCTGATGTCTCATTCGCTTTAAGCGTGACCAGCAGATACCAGGGAAGTCTAGAAGAAGCACACTGGACAGCGGTCAAGAACATCCTCAAGTATCTTCGCAATACTAAGGATGCATTCCTGGTATACGGTGGTGAGGAAGCGCTAAAGGTGGTCGGTCACACTGATGCTAGCTTCCAAACCGACAGAGATGACTCAAAATCACAAGCAGGATATTTGTTTTGCCTGAATGGCGGAGCTTTTAGTTGGAAGAGCTTCAAGGAGGATACAACCGCCGATTCGACTACAGAGGCTGAGTACATAGCTGTTGCCGAGGCAGCAAAAGAAGCTGTTTGGATCAAAAAGTTCATTACTGAACTTGGAGTGGTTCCTAGTAGTAATGACCCTATCTCGTTGTTTTGCGACAACACTGGGGCCATTGCACAGGCAAATGAACTGCGATCTCACCAGAAAACCAAACACATTGTACGACGCTATCACATCATACGAGAAATCGTAGATAGAGGAGATGTGATGATTTGCAAAGTAGATACTGACGACAACATAGTCGATCCCTTGACCAAGCCTTTAGGAAAGCTAAAGCATAAGGGTCACACTAGGTCCATGGGCATTCGACCGATGCTAGATTGGCCATAGTGCAAGTGAGAGATTGTTGGAGTTGTGCCCCGATGGCCAACTGTTCATCGTTATCCTATCACGTATAGGCAGACATAATATGTTTACACATCTCATGCTAATGTAAACGAATATTATATTCCTAGATTTATATTTAAAGATGTTTATCAGATAGTGTTTTTCTGCTGATGAGACTAACATCTTGAAATAAATATTTGTCTAAATGTCCATAGTCGAGTATTAACGAGAGTAGGATATCATTAATGCATGTGAGACTAGTGTGTGTTGGATGTTTGACTTAGTCTCATAGTCAATGACGGTGTGTTCGCTTCCGCACATGGGCAGATATTATTTAGAGATAATAGGATGCCGGACTGACCCATCCTAAAGAAATTGCTTGAACTTTTAGTTCATGCTCTAAGCGTCTTTAGCGTGATCACGGGTGTAACTATCCTTCGACTTGAAGTATTATGTTTTCTGCATATGTGAACCCGCATACTTTGATGCATTGTCCTAAGCGATATGAAATAAGGATGGTATACAGGCTTTGTTTTGGGTATGCCGCAGCGCGTATTCAGAAACGTAGATTACGTACATAGGATTTGTCACTACTCTTTTTAAAAGAGATTAATGTCTTATGGGGCCCACTGATAAGTTATGATTTAGGAAATTGCATGGCCATGCTGAGATGTTTTTATGACGTCTGTTCCTATTACTCAAACTTGATAAATCAGTGAATGACTTAATGGATACAAGCTGGATTTTAATAATCCCTTGCATTAAGTTTAGACATTGAGACAAAGGGATACAGTTACACGGAGTTTAAGTCGTGGAAAGGTTTTGACAGTGCAAACGTCTTAACTTATAATCTGGGGGCAATAATGTGTTGCTAGATACCGCTTATTGCTTATAGTATTGGTGCAGAGCCAATACTGTGGCCAGCTTTATAAGTGCCTATACGGGTCACACACTTTGGACAATTTAAGGAGTAGGATTAAACAATGGGTTAATAAGTAATTTGTATATTTGTAAAATAGTAAAATAAAATATTTTGGAGTATAATATATATTATATATACGGAAATATATATATATATATATATATATATATATATATATATATATAATATATATATATATATAACTTTCCTATTAAAAATTATTCTTTTTCCTTTCTTTCTTTTTCATGTACCTCCCCTCCTGATCTGGTTACGGGGAGAATTTGACGTACTTCATTTCTTTTGCTAAAAGGGAAATAAACATGAACGAAAAATGATCACTCCCAGATTATAAAACCGGGATGCTGATCAAGGGAAAGGTTTCTAGGCATTACTTTCTTTGGCCTCTTCCCATCAGTTCCAATAGGACCGACGGGGCCGACATACCAAAAGGGCCCGGAGTAACTTTTGGTAGTGATAATTTTTTCCAAAGTTGTTGATTTTCGGCTAGGCCTGTATCTGGTGATCTCACTAACCGTCCCGACTTCGAGGTTTGGGTCGTAGCTTCTAGCTTTGATTGTTCTTGGTGCATTTGGCCTCTTGCCTGCTTTTTTGGTACGTCTATTTTGGACATCTTGAATATAGGACCTAATTTCATATTCTTGTCCGTCGATCTCAAAGGATTGAAGGACCGGTCCTATTGTTGATGGGTTGATACCTGCATCGTTAGTCAACAGTGGAGGGGGGTTTTTGTTTTCCATAGGATCAGAAGGAATCTCATCATTTCCTGTAGATGAAAGACTTAGTGTGCCTTCCATCTCTTTCTCAAGAGAGGGAGTGTGTGCACCACAAGTAGCTTCCAACAATTCTTTTGTGAGGACTGGAAATTCAATTAGGTTGATTTGAGAAGGGTTAGGAATGTACTCTTCCTTATTTTCAGTGTCAACAGTCTGTGTGCCTTCCAATGCTGCCTTGGAAGACAGATTGTGTGTACCACGACTGAGTTCATTGTTAAAAAGTAAAGGAGAATCGGGTTCCAGTATAAGGGTGTCATCTTGTACATTGGTAGGAGTCACCAATATTACCTCACTAATACCACAAGTTGCTGGACAATTGGCAGTAGGAATAAGAGGAATAACTTCACAAACATCTGAAGCTATCTTAACATTATGATGAGCTGCTGTACAACTTTAAGTAAGAGTTGCTTCAGCATCTTTCTCAACACAATCTGTGTCTTCACAGACGATAGGGTCTGGATCAGTCCTAAGGTTTGTTGTTGGGGAGCTGCGACGAGGGGTTGTTTCAAGAGCAATAGAAATTGAAGGGGGTTCATGAGCTGTAGAGTCCCTCACATGAGAGAGGGTTAGATTAGTTGCCATGTCAACTCTTGGAGGAGCAGCCCCATTTGAGTCTGTTGTTTCGGCAGCAGAAGCAGGCCCGGTTGCATCCTCGCCCTGGGTTGTTTGCAAAACAGCTTCTATTGTTGTTGGGGTCACTCCAGGCTTAGGAACAGCTTGTTGAATTCCAGTTCTAGAAACCCCTACTGTTTTAACCCCTTCTGTTTTAACCCATCTAGAGTTCTCAATCTTTCTCTTACAGTTTTTGTGGCCAAAAGATTTGCATGAGGGGCAATAGTCTGGAAGATCTTCATAGGTTATTGGCTGTAGGAAGGTGAGTTCTCCCAGGTGAATCCAAACACTTCGAGGCAATTCTTTACTGGTATCTATCTCAACACAGATTCGAGCAACAGAGGGCCTCGAAAGAGTTGCTGTTGCTGAATCAGTTTTCAGGGGTTTACCAAGCAGGTTCCCAATTGAGAATAAAGCAAGAGAATCAAATAGATGTATAGGCAAACCTTCAAGGCCTATCCAGACTAGAATTAGTGGGGAATCGGCATTAGGGTCGAAATCATGAGTCCATCGGAAAACTTTCAAAGACAATCCATTAATCTTCCAATATTTTCGCAACAAGCATCTCAGGAAATCCTTCTCAGATTCGAAATTGATCAAAATATGGCATTCATCTAAGAGACTTACAGAGAAATCGCTTTCAAAGCCAATCCGTTCAAAAGCTTTTCTGGTTGAGATAAGGCTTGGTCTCCCTTTGATGAAGCGCCCAACTATTGTTCGTGCGAATGTGGATGAGAGCGCACTCACATCCGCGTCTGTGAAGGAGATGGCAGGTTGGCCTTTAAATTTGCCCGCTGGTTTGAAATCTCCTGCATCAGCAATTTCTCTGAATGTGCGCTGTGGAAGGAAGCTGGACATGGTTGGAAGATGGTCGCCGGACCGCCATGGCGGTCGGCGGAGATCTAGCCGCAGAAAACAGATCTAGAGCGAGAAGACATTTTTTTATATATATTATATATATATATATATATATATATTATATGTTGAATATTTTATTTTGGTTTGTCATTTTAATTATGAAAATAATTATTTTGACATAAACTATTTAAAGTATATTTGTATACTTGTTTAAAATGATATGGGTATTTTTATTTGATTTAAAATTAATTTTATATTAATTTTTGGTGTCAAATAAAATACACTTTGAACATTTGAGTGGAGAAGAATTTCACAAATCCTTCTCGTATCATTGTTCGGCCAAGTGGAGATTATTGAATCAATTTTTTTTCTTGATTGATTCTTTAGTGGAGCTAATAGTGTTTTAACATTATTCTTAATGATAAAATATTTTGATTAATCACTTTTGAATCTTTTGTTTTCTTTCAAAGGTTACACGGTACATTGCAATTTAAAATAGGTGTGAAGATCATCAATTGATAAGTTTGGCATACTTTCGGCCATAATAATTTTAGTGAGATAAAATATTATTTTGGTTCCACATATATCATTTTGTGTGTAGAAAATATCTATAATATTTTCTAAATATTATTAGAAATATTTTCTATAGAAATATACAAGATTATTATTATCCCAATTTTAATCTTTATATTTTATACTACTATAATCTTTACTAGCATAAAGATTTTGGTAGACTCCAGCATTGTTCATGTGTCAAAGTTGGAGACCGGACGCTTGAACAGTTACGTTTGCACTTTCAACGCTCTTCCTACGACTTCTTCGTTTTTACCGCTTACGGAGAAAGGTATAAATTTCTTACTCACTATAAGTTTTAGTACGTGATTCTAGGCAAGATAATCATGTTAGGATGTTACCCCTAATCCTTTGATTGTTTTGCTTGTGACCAGGCCTGGTGATACTACTTTGTTTGGGCTTCCTTAGAACCAAGGTAAAGTCTTTTCTGAGGATACCTTGGTTCTAAACCTTGTGACTTTTCCCTTACCTCCAATGATAACTCTGTGTTTGAGGAGTGGTTGATCAGTTCCTGATTGTTTGGGGTGGTGGAAATGAACTTAACCCTTTGACCCTGTGTGGGCTGAAGAGTTAACCTCAGGTCCTGGGCTGACTTGGAAACAGTTCAAATAGTAGATACCCAGTTTCTGGATAACTAAAGTTTGAGCTGGGTCCAGATTTGGTCCTTGGGGTGCTGGAACAGTCTCTCTTCTGAGCAAGCTGTTCCTTGGGTTTGAGCCAGCCTCAATGGCTTAGTCTTTGGACTATGGCATTGGGGTGGTGGAAACAATTTTACCTCTTTTTACCCCTTCTGGATACAAAGAGGTACCATTGGGTCCCGGTTGGGGTGTTTTCACCCACTTTCTCTCTTTCTTTTCCCCCCTCCCTCCCTTCTTTTCTTTCCCTCTTTTTTCTCCATCCTCTCATTCTGCTTCTTTTCTGTTGGACACAATCCATTACATAAGCCTGCTCCTTCCTTGGAGTGGGACTAGGTAGATGGTTGTGTTTGGCCTGGGTTTTTTGGTTGGGTTTACCCCTTGTGGGTGGCTGAAACAAACATAAGTTATTGTACCCCTTGTGGATACATTGACTTAAGTCTGGGTCCGGTTGGGGGCGTTTCTCTTTTCTCATCCTCTTCTGTTTCTTCACTTCTCTCCCACCTTTCTCTTGCTCTAGGACTTAGCCCACAATGCATATTACACCTCTTTCTTTGACTTGTATATGTATGAAGGCTAGTCCTCCTTGCTGTGCTGCTACTTGGTTAACTGGTTCTGAAATATGTTTGGGTTACTGTGGATCCTGTGATGGGAGGCTCATGTTTCTGAACCCTCCACCTTTAATCACTCTTCTGAAGTATGCTTGTTTGCTGCCCATATCACTGATAGATGGGAGTGTGGATGAATGGATGGTTGTTTACTCTCTGTGGCTGTACCCCTGCTTGGTCTACCACTGGAAGTGACTGGTGTCATGATGTACAACTTGTTATGTGCTTTACCTGGCTGTGCCGAGTTTGGATTTTGATTGAGATGGCACTCTTTGAAGGGAGATGGACACGCCTGATCGTAATGGATGTTTTACTCCTAGCTGTCAACCTAACTCTTGGGTGGCAGGTATCCGTGCTTATGTAGATTGTCTACTACTTGGGTCCAGACCTGTCCCATTTGTTTGTGAAAAGGGGTGTTGATCTTCTGAACCTAGCTGTGATTGGACATACATGATGATACTAATGCTAACCAATGCCTTGCTTGACTCAACTGGAATGTGGAATGTGTTGCAATATGGACTTGAAGCTGGTTTCGTTCGGTTTGTAATCTGTGTGTAACCTTCTGTGCTGAAGCTGTTATTGGGTTATCTTTTTGGTTTTTTGTGGATCAATTTGTTATATGTATGGCCTATTACCTTTGTGTAGGGATTTTGAAGTGTAATTTTCAGTTTTGAATAGGTGTTTAGGTTGTATTTATACACTAATGCAAGTAACCATCTTATGGTTAAGCATTTGACATTCTTGTATTCATTTGATTGCGGGTAATAATAACTTGGGTGGGGTTCCCATGACATTGGGTTCCAATGTCATGGGATGACTCGGGGGCGCTCCGGTGCCCCGTTCATAAAATTGACGCTTCCTACCCCCCTAAACCCCCCGGTAAACCCCCCCACCCCGCCCCGACCCGAACACACCCCCCTACCCTAGTCAATTGCACCCCCGACCCGAATACTAATTTCTCCTCCTTTCTCACGCCACATAGTAACCTCCACCCTCCCCCATTCATTTCACCTCATTAATTAAGAGGAGTAATGTTTTATTTTAATTAAAAAAAATATATATTTTCAAACCATTCATTTACCCTCCTTCTCCCTATAAATAAGGCCTCCTAGAATGAGAAAGGAGGCAAGATCATTTGAAGAGAAAAAGAAAATAAATAGCTAAGTAGGTTGAGAGGGTGTGTGAGTAAGAGTGGGTTGTGGCGTTGCCGAGGGGTGGAGAGAGACGTGAGGGACGCATCACGTAATCATCCCATCAACGTTGTCAAGCTTTCATTTTGACTGAAGGTGCAGTGTGCCGTTGACCCTAACCTTTTTATATATATATATATATATATATATATATATATATATATATATATATATATATATATATATATATATATATATATATATATATATATATATACCATGTTCATATATTTTTTTTGTTTTTGGTGCATGTTATTGTTTTTTTAGTTAATTGAATCTATTGCTATAAAATATAAGGAATGAAACATAAATTATATACATGTTTTTCAGCAGTACGTAGCAAAAAAATAATAACAAGTATGTGGTAATGTTAAAGGGAATTCATACACGAGCAAATCCTTGTTCACGTACATCTGTTCGTAAAATTTATATGGAAATCATCTAACATATATATGCACAAAATTTCAAATAAAAAGGGTTATTTTTATAGAGCCGAAAGGTTATAGTCAAATACAAACAAAACCCTTTTAATTACTTTGTTTTTCCCCTTATGTACAAAATAATTTATAAAGAACTACTTATACATAATTGATATACTTTCAACTAAATTGTTTCAAGTATATTTAATTAGTATTGTTTAATATATGGTGTTGAAAACTAATAAAAAAAGGTAAATGGGTTCGGTATGTTGTTTTCTTAGATTGATAAATGATTGGTTATGTTTTACATATAAATAAGTGTGTATATAAATGTACACATTTTTAATGTTTAAGTGGTGAACTATTTGCTCACAGAGTAACAAATGGTTTAATAGAAGAAGGGGACGAGAATGTGGAATTTTCTTTCTTTTTTTGAAAACAGATCAGATTATGTTTGATGACATCAAAGTGTTTTATTTAAACGGTCATACTACGGTTAATCAAACAGTTAGTGGACGAAGTAAAAACTTCAAGGTTATTTTAACGACGTACCCTGACCAGGTACTGTCACGTTTTACTAAGTGGGTCAAACCACTTTCAAGGCCGGACCGTGTCTATGTGGATGAGCCTATAAATAATCATACCACAACGTGCGCACGAGAACCCAACGATGACCCCGTGGGTCTAGGGTTCACTTCTGATTATTGGACCCGAGGTCACGGGGAGGTATCCGAAGTAAAACTACGTATCAACTAGTGCGGTGTTCCAGCATAGTCACGGCTTTGTCTCTAACCTGTGGTTAGCCTAGTAAGTCAAGTGTTTTCTAAATGTCCCCAAGTAACTTTTCAATGTGAGATTATTTACTTAACAATTTTATTTATGCAAAAAGCTCATAAAACATGAATAACTTAAAATGCCCTAAAATATATTTACATGTTATATATGTCTATTGGTTATTTGCCACTCAGCTTTGCTCAGCGTGTAGTTTTTTACTGCACGCAGGTACTAGCAAGGGGAACGACTGCTGAGGAGGATAGCTTATACGTGGAGGCCGTACCAAAAGAGTCCTAATTTAATATCTAATAATAAATAAAACGCCAAACTTAATTTTACTTTGATTTTGGCACTACAAGAAAATTGTCAATTTGCCACGGATAATTTCCGTTGCAGAATTTGAAATTTCGTGGGAGATTGATATTCTGCGACGGACCTGCAATGAACAACTTCCGTCGCAGAAAAGTTGTGGCAAATTGAAAATCTGCGACGGAAATGAAATTCCGTGGCAGATCTGTGACGGATCTGCAACGGGTACGTCCGTCTTTTGCATCCCAAAACTCTGCGATGGAAGTCTTTAATCCATCGCAAATCTGTGACAGAAATAGCGATGGGGTTGTCCGTCGCAGATCTGCGACAAACGCAACAATGGCGTTTTTCGTCGCAGACAACCTGATCACAACACCAGCATTTTCTGTTTTTAGGCAGTACCAGGGGCAACACACATTCAACTTTCACACGCATAATTCTAAACAAGATTTCAATACGAAATAGATAATTCAAAACGAGATTAATTAAAACTTCACATGCAAATGTAACATAATTCATAATCTTGTAAAAACACTAAATATTAAAGTGCTTGTGTCAAATGTCAAAGATGTCAACAAATCCCGGGCTGTCCTGCCTCTCCCATTCCATCGTCATCGCCTCGTGGAGGAAGATTACCACCATATAACTTCCTTATCTCCTCCTGAATCGTTAGCGACAAGCTTGAGGTTAGATTATCAATTTGTTCCTGCAGCCTTTGGTTTTGCTCTTTAAGTGCTGCCATCTCCGTTGCGCTGTTGCTACTAGTGCTGGAACGGCGAGGTTTGGAGGAAGTATTGATCTTCTTCATTTCCCGCGCGTAATCACCAACTCCAGGAACGCGGTTCTTTGCATTATGGCCCTCGACTAGCGAGTACCATATTTCTTCGTCGGTGACTTTAAGTCCATTTTGTCTAGCCTCCTCGCGCAGTTCGAAGAATTGTGCCTGCAATATATGATACTTAGCTTAATAACACACAATAACAACGTAACAATAATAGCGTGTCAAGAACAACAATAACAACATGAACAACATCAAACAACAACACAAGTCGTGGTCAAATGACAACAACAACACCATCAATGCAACAACAAAAATAATGTCATATGACAACAACAAAAACAACAACAACAACACAAGAACTTAACAAGATTATCATGGATCGATAAGAAAAGTAACATCTAGCTAGTGATGACAGCACCATCAACGCAACAACAAAAGTAGTGTCAACCCTACAACAACAACACCATCAACGCAACAACAAAAATAGTGTCATATGTCAACCACAACACCATCAATGTAACAACAATAATAACAACACAATTAACAATAACATAAACAGTAAGAATAACGTCAACCAAAACAATAAAATTACACACGAAAGCGACTACATTATCACCCTTTAGAAGCTTAAAGACAAAAAAACCAACATTATGAGCATGAACCCAAACTATTTTGCAAATTGTGGAGAGTACCTGTAGCTCAGCATGTCCCGGATCCACCCAAGTCTTGTCATCGTGCTTCTTTGTCTTTGTGTGGATGATAACCTCATCCAACAGCACAAGCGCTCCTTTCTTCTTAGCCTTCAAGTTTCAATGAACATTTCCATTACATTTTAAATTTATTGTCCACCGAATAACATGTGCAAAGCTATTATTTTAAAAAATGTATCTTACCAATCGATTCATATTTTCAGAAAATGGAATTGAACCTCCGCAATAAGTCTCAAGAGCAGGACCATCGTCTTTTCCCTTTCTTCTATTCTTCTTCTTCGTCTTACTCAACTCCAAAAACTCCGGATCCTCTTCCCAAACCTATAGTTGTATATTTCATAAACATTACTTGTACATAGCGATTTGTACGCATATCTTGTTTTTACGTTCATAAATGGTCATTTGGTTGAGTTTTGTGTTCGACGTGTTTGGAGAACCAAGAATCATAAACCTTGAATTTGATGTTAAAAGTATGTTTTGATGATCCTAAAATGATCTATGAACCTTGTAGAACATTCCTATATAGTTTAATTGAAGTTTGGTAACTAAAATTGGTATTTCCAAAAATGGACCGAAGGAAGAAGACGATGAACAGTGACCGAAAATCGATTATTATCTTCCTAAAAATCGATTAAAACTTCGTTCAGACGAGATGTTTGAAGTCAGTACCCATTTATCAAGAACAAACTGATTATTCATAAAGACCAAATCGATTATTCCTAAAGCAAAAATCGATTTTTACTCATTAATGGATTATTTTTCAAGCAAAAATCGATTTTATTGATTTAATGGATTATTTTTTAAGCAAAAATCGATTTTATTGATTTAACGGATTATTTTTCAAGCACAAATCGATTTTTATGAATTAACAGATAATTTTAATTATATAAATTGATTTTTATAATTTAATTGGTCATTTTAAATGAAATAATCGATTTTCCTAAAGTCCAGATCCTGAAAATATGCTCTAAAATCATATTTTTGATATCAATTAAGGCATATAAAACATTATGTGATGCATGACGGTAAGTTCGGGTGTTAACACTCGAGACTAGGCCATTAATTGTTATTGAATGTTATGTTGAATGATCATTATAAACCTAATGATTAGAATGATTATTGATGATTAAATCATGATTAAAAATGAATATAATGGTGATCATGAAAATAGTGTATATTATTAAGGATATCTAGAAGAACTCTAAGATATACCCACTTGTTCGGGGTTAAAACGTACGTACGGGATCCAGACAGGATATCACCCACCCGACAAATCATTGTTCGGTTGGTACGTAATCCACATGACTCTATCCCACCTAATAGCTAAGAACACAAGACGTAATTTGATAAATATCAAATTCCCGGACCAATCTTAATGACGGAATCTGATCCTTATCGATTCTCGACTTATATTTTACTACACCGGAATCTAATTCTTATTAAATTCTCGTATATTGATATATTGAATATCAAATGACTTGGAATAAAATATTGAAAATATTATGAAGGTTTGAACCATATATTGTGTGCATGATATCAAATGGTTGATTATGAATTGAGATTCAATTTGTGTGGATGTTCGACGCTTTAGATATGCTTACTCAGCTTCACCGCTGAGCGTTTAGTGTGTTTTATTTGCTACACGCAGGTAAACACAAAGATTAATGTGATCCTGGCGGCGGATGGGGCGAGATTGTCAGGATGGATGTGACAAGTTTTGAAATAATTTATGATATGTCAATATTAAATTCGCTTCCGCAATATTGTTAAATACTCCGTACTGTATATGTTATGAAAAATATTATTGAGATTAATAAAGTGTGTTTGAAAAGTTTTAAATTTTACGATTACCAAGTTAAATACTTTAGTCCGAATGGGGCTGCAGACCTGGACGGATTAAGGTGTTACAGTTTGGTATCGGAGCAAATGGTTTTAAACCCGATCTTCGGATCGAAATTTCATTTAAAAAAAATAATAAAATAAAATGTCAATCACATCCACGATTCTCGCATCCCTTTGCTCCAGAAAAGGTATAAGAATTTACTTGGTAAATATTGACTGTGTTAAATTCTCATTTGATAACAATTGTTAGTATTGAAATTATATCGAGCATAGACTCAAGTCGAATTTTCGTATTCAGTGAAGAAACGAAAGAATAAAAAAAATGTATAAACCTCTGATACGTTACATCGTGAATGACGAAGTTGATCTGTACCAGAAAAGTCGCACGGAAGTGAGATGAACCTGAAGAACGATTCGTGTTGATATATGTTGAACAACATTTGTGAAGCCGGTGTCAAAGATCCTCATGTGGCCTCAACGCGAACCAATCGTTGACGCAAACGAAAACGTTTAGAATTAATAAACCCTATCGTTTCTTCCAATCTCTCTTGATTGTTTTCAATCGTCGCAACTGTTATATACCCTCGTGATATCTGTTATCAACGCACCTACGCAAATAAGGAATCCTAATAAAGAAATTCCAACTATTTGTAGAATGAGTCAAGAAACAACGCGCGGACAAGATAACCAAGTGCAAAACAATGGACACACAACGGTTCATATTGAAATATCGAATTTCACTCTTGTTGTCCGAAAAGAACCAGACAATCAAAACATCCACCAAGATATTGAAGGTCACTCCATTGCTTATTCATGTATCAAACCTGATATTAAGGGAAAGAAGCCTTTGACTGGAACTTGTAGTGCCCCACCCTAGAAAAGAAGAAAACTTTTGTCAACTCAGAACAAATTAAGAGTGTGGAAACATCCAAAGTGTAACACTTGTAGAAGACATCTCCCAGGAGAATGTTGGATGACACAAGGATTATGTATAGGTTGTGGTAAATCTGTGCATTTCCGAAAGGAATGTCCTACAAACCCTTGGAACACCAATGCCGATGGCCCTGTTCAAAATAAGTCTACCTCAGCCCGACTTGCACTAAGAGGAAGTAACCTGCAAACAAAATCATGCATGTGTGTATGCAATGAAAGACCGTGTTGAAGAAAACTCTGGTGTCGTCATTAATATATTTCCTTATTTGATAATTTATAAAATTATCCATGTACTGATCCGGGATTTGCACTATCTAATATCTATGTAATTCCATGTTGAATAAACCTCTGTTGAGATTGAAAACTCAAGGATTCCTTAATAAAGAATCATTTGATCAAGTGTTTTCTCTTTGAATACCTACTTTGTTCATACGCGAATACAGAAGGATCGGCGAGACTCTGTATGAACTATCGTCAATTAAACAAATCCTTATCCTTTACTTTGTATCATGACTTATTTGATCATCTTAGAGGATCCATTGTGTTCTCTAAGATTGACTTACGGTCAGGATACTAACTATTCTCTATTAGGAAACTTGAACAAATTGACGATCAAGAATCGCTACTCCTTACTTTGAAATGGACTCATTTGTATTAGCTATTAACATGAAAGATCACGACGTGGCACACCAACAGTGAAAGACTGAAGAATGAAGAAAATGTAGCTCACACTAGCCATACAACCTAGAAGAATATTTATGGATAATATCATTGCAACACAAGATACAACTTGAATTACAAGAGGAAAGTTACAGATGCAATTCTAAGTCTAGTCTTCCAGGATTTACAAACTCATCATAACTAACCCCAGGTCCCTGGAAAGCTTTAGCAAATTCTAGTTTGTCTAAAAGCTCATCAACAAAGAAAGAAGAAATGAAAAGTTTCCTCTGACTCAAAGACATGAAGTTCTACCTCACCGCATCATCTAGAAATTTGATTAGGTTACTGAAATAACCGTCAATGTTCAAGAGACCAATGGGTCTATTGTGTAACCCTTCAGAAGCCCACGAGATCAAAGTGAACAAACCTTCCATAGTGTCAACTCCTTCGGGAAAAACAATGAAATCTTCCACGGCATGATTCATCTCAAAATATTTGTAGTAATTACTGGAAACTGTGTGCTCTACACCGTACGTAGGTCCATAGACCCGTCGTGTTGCTATGTACCCAGGAATGAAACCTCTAACGAGACCACCATTGGTAAAGATTGTTGAAGCAACAGCTCTTTGAAGGCCAAGACTACCTCCTCCATAGGCAAGTTTAATTTTTCGTCTTAACAATTCCCTTCCTAAACCTACCGCAGTAGTCATAAACTTTGGATTTATACCAAGAGAATGACTACCAAGTAGACCAACGAATCTTATGGTGTAAGGAAGTGTTCGAGAAGTTCCTTCCATAATGTGAGAATGTTAGATACTCTTTCCATAATCGTGAAATATATAGTCTCTAAAACCGGACCATTGATGGAAAAGTAATTATCACCAGCCAAAATACGTACAATAAAATGGATTCAAATTACTTGCAGACGAGAACGTACTCACTAATACTATAGTATGCTGACGATATGATGTATTGAGACTCTTGAACGGTTTGATTCGCTGTCCTGAAACACTTTCAAATCCGAGACGAAAAGTCAAAACAGCTATTTCCTAAGACAACGACCTCTTGAGTAACTTCCAAAGAGTGAAACATTGAAGGAAGAAAACCTACGATTAGTAACGGTAATTTGCAAATGCTATCTTGATATCTTATGACTCATATCCTTGAATTACTCAAACTTGATGTGTTAACTACACCCTTGAAACATCCCGCTTGATCAATCTTGAAAAGATTGAATTCCATTCTTTGTATCAAAATAATAAAACCACGATTCTTCATTAAACGAAAAGATGTTTTATAATACCGATCTTTGAAAACTATACCTTGTGGAATACGTGACTCGATCACAATAGTAAAACTACCTTGACTTGAACATTATGCTGAACCTCTCTTTGTGGACCACAAAACAATCAATACAATTACGTTATCTCTAAAGATCATTATCGATGATCTTATTGACCAAGCAAACTCCATTATAACCCTAACAAGGAAATGTGTATGCAACAACCAGAGAAGAAATGACGTCACAAAGAAAAGCTGAATCATTCAAGCGAATATCCCGAACCTATATGCAATGTTGGTGTAAGAACTAGTAAAGATCCCTCACTCTATGAATTCGTGAATTGAATCACATACCGAAGATATTTTTTTTTCTTCCCTCGAAACGAGATCAGCCATAGTGCTAATATCGAATATGTCGCTATCATATCTAGATATGTTTTCAAATTAATACAAAAAGTTTGAATAAGACAAGTCGTACATGAGACGCTACTCAAACGTCATCATCTATGAATACGAAGACTCATTAAATGATAAATGAGCGCTACCATGAAGTGAATGAAAAAATGTTTCGATGTAAATCGATGATAACAAGCTACTGTACAATCAATCGAAAGTACTTCCTTATAAATGATGACAAATCCCATATTCTGAACCGATGAAAGCCATTTAATGTTATTTACGAGTCATTGATGGACTATGTGAACGATGTGAAGATGTTTTGAAACAAACTCTAAATCCCGAACTATACCTATCGTGAAGGTGATGATTCG